GGCGCGGGCATGGAGCGCTCGCAGAGCCGCCTCAGCCTGTCCGCCTCCTTCGAGGCGCTCGCCATCTACTTCCCGTGCATGAACTCCTTCGACGACGAGGACGCGGGTAAGCTCGCGGCCCGCCCCCGACCTTGGGGGTCGTCCTGGGATCCAGAGCTGGAGGCCCCTTCCCGGACTCCGTGTGTTCTTAAAGCGGACCGGTGTCTGTCCTCCACCGCCAACCCTATTCGGGGAGGCGCCCCGGGTCTCCTTCCCCTCCCAAGGGACCCCAGGGGCTCTGAGATGTGAACTCTTTTATCCATACCCCCAGGGACCCTAGATCATGTGCGTTTACCTCTTTCCCTCAGGTGGGCCCCTGGGTCGCCTGGACCTAGCTGTCCTTACTTGCGTCTACTCGATACCCCTCACTTGTCCTGTTCCAGTGTCCTACCTGCCACTGTCCACGAGTGTTCAGTATAGTAGGTGCCCACTCTTTAAGCCCTGGGGCACTGGCTGCCTCAGCCCTGGGGCTCCGGCGCGCCTCCCGGCTGCTGGAGGTGGCGCACAGACCTTACCTCTCCATCTTTGTCTCGGCTGCACCCAAAGGCTCCGTGCCCAAGACCCCCGCCTGGCGTTCAAGGCCTTGACTGTCCTGGTTTGTATTCCGACTCTTTCCCAAAGGCTGGGGCTCTGGACTCCTGGTTTTTACCAGACTAGGGCTGATCTCGGAGAAGCGGCCAGGTTATGGCCTCTCCGCTTTTTGCCAGCGCTTCGTAGAGGGAGGTGTAAGGCGGCACCAACTCTGCACTTGTGCCGCGTTGCTCTCAGCCCTGGAGTGGCCTCTGTGGGGGCTGAACCCGGCCTCCATCCTTCGGCTGAACCTCCTGCTCCCAGTCTTGTGCGCCAGCTCAGCGAGAGGGGCGGGGAAGTGCAGGGAAAACTGTGCTCTGTGACCCTGGGACCAGGCAGAGAGGGATTTTGGAGCTCTGGATTTGGTTCTGGGTGAGGAAGAGAATTCAACAACAGGTGGGGTAGGTAGAAGGCTTGGGCGAGAATTCCCCCAAGAGTGCAGATTGGGAGTCAAAACCAGGCTCCAGTCTTCCTTCCTTATAAACTGCAACCTTGGGCAAGTTATGCCACCCCTCAGCCTCGGCTTCCTCGTTTGTGAAATGGGGACAGTGGTGCCTTGCATTTAAGGCTCTGTATGGCTCTCTGGGAGTGTAGTTAAAAGTGTCTTGTGAGCTGAAAATCATCCAGTATTTGTATTCAACGAGGGGACAGGAGACGAGTATCTGTGGTGGGGAAGAACAAGACTGATGGAAACATGGACTCTCTCTCCAAAAAATGCCTATATGGACCATTCGGGAAATTCAGTCTACATTTCTACCGAGTTCACGGGTGGAGGTTTTGACTCTGCTTGCTGAGAGACCTTCATTTGGTCGACACTGTTAATCTAGGTTCTGTCATAGGATTTGGTGGTGGGTGCTCATCTGCAGGAGAAAGGAGAGAAAATTCTCCAGAATCTGGGCTCCCGAATGCATGGGGCTAGGTGAGGCAGACCCATGATAAACCAGTCTTGCTGTTGACCTGGAGCTGGGAGTGGGGTAACTGCAGAGCCATTTTACAGAATAGATGACTGAGGCTCAGAGGCTTAACTTCCCCTGGTGTAGGCAAGGGAGGTTGTGTTGTTCTGGAAAAGGCAAGGTCCTTGGGGAGGAAATGGGGGCTCCCCAATGCAGTAGCTTCCACAGAAGCAAAATTGGGAAGAGGAAGTCAGGCTAGTTTGGGGGTCTGGAGGAGGGAGCAGCTGCAGGTGAGCTAGCTGCCAGCCCTCCTGTCAGGGCCAGGCACTCTTCTAAAGTTCAGCAGGCCACTTTGGTCTCAGGGGCCAGGCTCAGCAGGAGCATGAGAGACAGGTATGATTTTGTTTTTCTCCAAAGTCATGTTCCATGTCATGGATCAGACACCTCAGTGACTATTGCAGGCTGCAGGCACCTTGCTCCAGGATCCACTTAAATCAACAGATAACTTCATGTAATATTAGTGATATTTTTAAAGGTCCGCCTGATGGGTTTTTTTCCAGTGGGTTTCTTCAGATTCTTAAGTGCTTCACTTGGAGGAGACCTAGAAATCATCTTTCAGTGCCTTCCAGCCCCTCAATAGATGGAAGTGTGCATGTGTATTTGTGTACATGTGACTCTGTGTGTGTGTGTGTGTGTGTGTGTGTGTGTTTTTTTTAGAGAGAGAGAGAGAGAGAGAGAGAGAGAGAGAGAGAGAAGCCTTGATGTGTGATGTGCGCCTATATCTGTCTGCATATAACCCAAGGTCATCCAGTACAGCAAGCACAGAGCTGAGACTCAAATCTGGTTTCCGGTTCTTTTTCCAGAAAGCTGGTAGCCCTTTCTGAAAGAGGCTGTTGTAAAAAGCCAGATCTCACCATGCAGAGAGAGAGAGAGAGAGAGAGAGAGAGAGAGAGAAGCCTTGATGTGTGATGTGCGCCTATATCTGTCTGCATATAACCCAAGGTCATCCAGTACAGCAAGCACAGAGCTGAGACTCAAATCTGGTTTCCGGTTCTTTTTCCAGAAAGCTGGTAGCCCTTTCTGAAAGAGGCTGTTGTAAAAAGCCAGATCTCACCATGCAGGAAATGGTTCCCAGGTGAGGAGGCCTAGGGAGGGGCTGCCAAGCCAAGAGCTGGGTTTGGGTATCTTGAGCCCGCTGTCTGCCTATCTGGAGGGCTGCCTTGAGTTTGGGAAGGGGAGGGAGAAAGTCAACTTTCATTTTCGGAAGAACAATGAGTGTCTGGAGAAAGTCGGAAGTAGGGAACGTTGTCTGGGTGCTTAATTTGTCTCCGAAAAGCAGCCTTTTGGACTTAACTCCTTTTGAACGTTACTGCACTGAACTAATTTCTAAAAGCAGTTGGAGTACAGTAGTCCCTGGGCTACTGGACAGAGACTCCTTCGGTAGGAGGCTATCAGCACAGGCTTGGCTTCACCTGCCTCTCCCCTGCTCTGCTGGCCCTCTTGCTGCCGATCTGTCCCTGATGGCTCTGACTCAGAAGTGTGTCTCTGACAGGCCTCGGTTCATGTGAGAGCCTCCCCTTCGTGCTGCTTCCAACCCATGTTGAGTGCGTCTTTTCCGTCCCCCAGATCGAGCCAGAGCATCTTCAGGGCTCACATCCACCCTCCAGCTACTTTCTTGAGAAATGGTGTGAGGAGGAGACTTCTTTTTCCCATTAGCCTTAAATACATTCCTGCTTCGGATTTAGGAGCCTTGGAGACCGGAGTGGGTAAAAGAAACTGCCTGTTCTTCCCACCCCTTTCTAGCCACTCTTGGCCCAGGAGGTTAGTCATTGCAGGTTCCTAGAATTCCTGTCAAGAGGAAGCTTCCCTTGTGTACTCTGAATGCATTTTTTATGATGGTGCTGTGCCCCCTTGCCCAAGGATACTGGCACTTTAGAGAGCTTGCTGCTTGTGGGCATTTTTGCTTATATCTGTGGGGGCTTTTGTTGTTGTTTGTTTGTTTGTTTTTTTGGTACCAGGGATCGAACTCGTGACCTTGCACTTTTGAGGCAGGCAGCGGCACCACTGAGCCAAATCTCCAGCCCTGCTTATATCTGTGTTACTTAACCTTGTTGGCACCTGGGTTTGTAACTCAGGAGGCTTAGAGGGAGTGATAAGACATATGATTCCAGTTTTCTCATTTGTATGAGGAAAAATATAATAGCACAGACCCTATAAGGTCAGTGTTATGTTAGGCTAGATGTCTTTTCAGGCACTTCAAATATATTGTATTAATTCTTTTCTCGTGATACTTCTATAAAAATTTTGTTTTGAGACAGGGTCTCACTATGTAGCTCAGGCTGGTCTTGAACTTGTTTGAGGCCCAGGCTGGCCTCAGACTCACAGAGATCCTCCAGCCTTAGCTTTTGGGATTATGTCTGGGTGACCTCTATAAAATTAATTTCCTGTTAACATCCCCAGATGGTCATCTCATCTCAGATGAGAAAACTGAGGCACAGGCTTAGTAATTTACTCAAGGTCACTCAAAGTGAAGAAATTACAGTTTGGACTTGGACAATTTGACTTGAGCATCTGTGCTTTTAATTATGCTGCTTGCTGTGAGAAGGGCATAGCACAGTACCAGTATGAGGTGGGTCTCAAGACATGATAGCTTTGATCTGTCTTATTACCACGTGAGAGTGGCTTCTGAACATGACTATAAAGGATCTGTGGGTTTGGGCAGGGAAAAACCTGGTACCTAAAATGTTAGCGTTTGTAATTTTACTAGGCTAATTTTATTGCATTTTTTAAGTATTAAAGTAGAGTTGGATGCTCCTTCTTTGAACTTGTGTAAAGATGAGGATTTGGGGGACTTTAATGTGAAGCAAGAGGGTGGAAAGCATTCTGGATATCCATTTCCTTGCTCTTCTTGATCAGGTAGTTCATTTGTCTGTCTACAGGTCTGCCCCATCCCTCGGCCTTGGGGCATAGCTGGAGAATTGAGGTGCATCCCATTTCACATGCCATGAGGCATTGTTACGTTAGGGTCTGGAATTGAGGATGGTGTTCCTGAGCCTGCCCAAATGGTTTCAGCATCCACTTCTCCCCCGCCCATCCAGGAGAAGGGCGGAGAAGCTGGAGCAGCCAGCTCTGATTTGTCCATAGGATGGATGCTTCCAGCGCAGGGAGGAAGTTGCCATGGCAACACCAGCCGGCTACCGGTTCCTCTCCTAGCAGTTTGGGCCACATCTCTGGGCTGCAAAGCAGCACCCTTCACAGCACCACCCTCTTCCGTTCAGACCAAATATGGTCTGTGTGTTGGGGGGGGTGCATGGTGGATGGGCCCCATAAACTAGTACAATGGCCTCCTCCCTCTCATTTTTGGACAGAGGGGAAATGGAGGTGGTCTGAGTTACTTCTGGGCTGTGAAGTAGAGATCCTCATATCCTGCCAGATAGATCCTGACAGTGGTGGCTGGGGTTGGGGTAGGGGATTCAGAGTTTAATTCCTGCCCGCATCTCCTGGAGTGACCACACTAGACTCTGCACTCCTCTCAGTTTATACTCTTTGCCACAGTTTTCTTTCCTGGATCAAGTGCTAACTTTTGTCCTTGAAATTTGACCTG